CCTGTTCGCCACTGACATGGCCTGTTTGGAGCAGCCCGTTTGAGACTGATACAGCCCATTCACCATCACCTGTTCATTGCTGCTGTGGCGGCCCATTCGCCTCACCCATTCACTGCAGCCCGTTTGCCGTTGCCAACTTGCCCCATTTGCTGACGCCGTGCCCCATTTGGCGTGGCCTGTTCACTGATGCCACAGCCCATTCACCGCCACTACAGCGCCCCATTTGGCACAGCCCGTTTGGTGTGGCCCATTCGCTGCTGCCGTGACCCGTTCACCACCACTCATTCGCTGCCACCACATGCCTGTTTGCTGACGTCGCAGCCTGTTTGGAACAGTCTGTTTTGGTGCTGCCTGTTTGCTAATGCTGCAGCCGTTTGCTGCCACCCATTCGCTGATGCCAACACGCCCCATTCTGCACGGCCCGTTTGGTGCGGCCCATTCGCTGCTGCCACGCCCTGTTCACCACCCTCCATTTGATGATGATGCAGCCCATTTGGCGCAGCCCGTTTGCCACCACCACAGCCCATTCGCCACCACTGTCCACAGCTAATTCTAGAACAGCTGATTGGTGCCACATCAACCCCCTTTCCACACACACCCCCACTGCAACATTCGCTGTATAAGACGCACTGAAATTTTCACTGACTCTTGGGGGGGGGAGTTCATTTTATCCAAGTCCTAGCCAGAGGTACAGACACTGCCAAGTCTGGGTCCAAAGATGACTCAAAGAGTAGGTGGGCTTGAGGACCCCTTTTATTTCCCAAAATCCTTGCTTTGTTCAGGTAATACTGTAGAAATTGGGGAGGATTTCCCATATGGTCAGGCCCAACTTCTTTTGTCTGATTCAGATGACATTTTTTTCTTTTGTTTCCTTAAAGACACGACTCCTTCTTAAGTACTTTCCCTGAGGGAGCTAGACTCAGACTTGCTGGCTTCCGTCCCTCAGCCTAGTTGAGAATATGGGTACATGTGGATGAGTATGTGTATGTGTGTGTGCATGCGTGTGTGCATGTGCATATGTAAAAGAATATATATATATACATTGTAACCACTAAAGTTTGCTGTTATTTTAAATTCACTGAATCTTCAACACTTGTATTATATCTTACATTATTGTACCATATAGTCATTAAAATTAATCTGGTACATTGGGTGGAGGGTTATTAAGTGGATTTTCTTTAAAGTTTGTTCAGAAATTGTTGATATTTTTAAGTGTATCCTTGGTATTTTCACTGGTAAAATGTAAAGATTGTTATTTCACATTGTTATCTCATATTAACACTATAAACAGAATGTTTTCAAGATTAATAAGTATGAACCTATTGACTAGTGTTAATCCTGTATCCCTGTTCTCTAATATACAAAATTGCATAGTGAAACATGGCAAACTTGCTAATCTGTAATTTACATGTGCCCTATTGAATATATGTTTGAAAATGTACAGGTAGTCCTTGAAGTACTGAAGCCTGCCTATTACGGTCGTAATGTTAACTGAATCACATTGAATGAACAAGCCCCATCCCTCCACTCTCCAATGCATTCATTAATCAAATGTGTGGGTCATTAACTGCACATGAGGTTCCTCAGGGGTAATGAAGACCTTGGGGGGGGGGCTAGTTCAGCTGCCTCCAGCCACTCCCCACCCACTGAGATATCTCATGCTCAGTTCCCACCCCTTCGGGTCCCCATGGCTGCTTTGGCCTTCACCACCCAAACCCCCTATTATCAATTGTTCACTTACCTTTTGAAGATTTCCAAAACTCCAGAACAGACTGGGCCACATAGCAGAAAAGCAGGGGAATTTTTCTCAGGTCTGACAAAGCTGGGTTTTTTTCTTTTTAGATCTCACATTCTTATGCACACTCTTTTTTGCAACAGATGGACTCGTCTGTGAGAACTATTGCATCCCTGTAGGCCTCCTTTGGTTCCAGCCTGGGCACACAGCATCCTCTGTGTGTTGCTGGGTAACTATTCAAATGAGTCACTTTGGGGATTATAACCCGAAAACTAGTTTTGACTGGAGGAGGAGGAGGAGGCAGGATGTGGGTGGTTGGGCAGCTGGCCAGGATGGCAGCAGGGAAACAGAGCCTCTCAGAGCAGCACTGTTGCCAGAATGGCCGGGTCCCTCACAGGGAGCCAGATCAGTGCAGCTGCTGGGCGCCGGGGCTGTCCATGTTTGCTCACCTGTCCACGTTTGCTCACCTCTGGTGAGTCCAGTTTGGAAGAGGAAGAGGAGTTGGAACTGACCGGGAAGGCAGGCCAGGGGCTGAGGACGATGCTGTCCCAGACCCCTCAGACATGAGGGAGGTGATTGACCAGATGGAGAGCTGCCTTCCTTCACAGACACAGAAGGGTCAGCTGCTGACTGGCAGTGGTGCTGATAGGCAGCTGATCTCCTCTGATGAGGAACTGCTGTCTACTCCACTTAATCTAAGGGCAAGGAGAATGAAGCATAGGCAAGCCCAGAGAAGTGTTGCAAGGCTACTTGGGAGAAGGTCGCCTCACCTCTCCTCACAAAGAAAACCTGGACGGGAGTAACTTAAGGAAAAGCCATGGAGAGTTAGTCTTTGCTTGGAACAATTGTTTGCTTTGGCTTACATTCCCCCGGCTTCAATTTGTACCTGTTGCTGTTTGCCTTGCCTCGCTTGGAAGATTACTCTTCACATTTTGTTTTGGACCTACTCTTGTGGCCTTTGTTTGGTCTTTACTTCACTGTACCCCTTTGAACTGTTTCTTGCCTGGGACCTGTTTCTTGTCCTGAGGACTGCCCTTGTCTTGTGCCTGGACTCTACCTTGTGGATTGGTCTTGGAATCCTGGACCTTGCCCCATGAGCAGGCTGTGGGCTTTGTACTGTTGGGACTGTGTTTGGGAGACTGAGGGGGCTGCCTTCAGGATAGTTTGGGAATGGAGCCTTACTGGTCATTGGAGGACTGTTGACTGGAAAATTTGTTGAGAGAAATAAAGAACTCTCTAGAGGCCTGCCTTGCCTTGACCATCTGGGTCATAAGATGGTGCTTTGGGTGCTAGAGCATGGGCTGAGCTCCAAAGCAGCAGGGAGCAGGCATCCCTACAGCTGCCCAGAGTCCCATGAAAGTCCCATCCCTCAGGCGATCCTCAGTGTCCGCAGCTGCTTTTTTATCCACTAAATCTTTCCTGCGGATCAAACTGAAGCACTAAGTTCCGCATTTCTTCTGCTACACCTCACCAATTGCATTTCCCAGAGACTCAAAGAGAGAAGGAGCTTGGCCTTCCCAGGCGGCAGTGCTGCTACAAAGGGCTTGGTTTCTCCAGCTGCCACTCTGACCAACCACTCACATCCCACCTCCTCCTCCAGCCAAAACTAGTTTTTGGGCCGCAATTCCCAAAGTCATTCTTTTGAGTCAGAAACCCAGCAGGACAGAGAAGACACTGCAGCAGCACCCAAGCTGGGATCAAAGGAGGCCTATGAGATCTTGCGTTCTCACAGACAATTCTATCTGTATGCAGAAAGGAACGTGTATAAAGACTTATGGCAGCAATGTCATAACTTCAAACTGTTGCTAAATGACCTGTCATAACTTGAGGATTACGTTAAAAGTTTATAATTATGCATCTACCTTATGCAGTATCACCTAAATTTAGAAAAGGCTTTGCTATGCAAACTAGCTCCAGAGCATATTCAGAATCAAAAAGAAATAAATATGCACAAAATTCATCTTCTGATCAAACTCGAGTGAAATATATTTTCCAGTATTTTTCATTTTGTCTTAAGCTTACTTTTACCCCTGAGATTTCATTTAGTTTTTTGTGCATAATATTTATTGATAGTCAAATTTATTGACCTTTTTAATTTTGAACTTGACTTTATACCATAGGGAAAAGTGAGAGTATGATGCTCTCTGCAGAGTTGAATATAGAAAGAAAACTAGCTTTCCCCTACTTTATACTTATTAGATTTGTGGAGATTGGTGCTACCAAAAACAATGATTGGACAATATATTGTGCCAAAGTTTGCTAAATGTCAGTGTTTTTGAGAACACTGGACAATAATAGTGTACATGGCAGAGATGCAATTAAAAATTACTGCTCTTGAAGAAACATTGCTGCCCATCTATAGTTGCAAAATAAAATGTGGATAAGGTAGAAGGCTATTGGAACAATGTTCTGTGGGTGGATGAGACCAAAATAGAATCGGGTAGAATTTCAGGTAAATATCAAATAGAACTTTTTGGTTAAATGAAAATGTTTGACAAAAGACAAATATGGTATTCCACCAAAAGAACCTTATCCCATCTGTGAAACATTTGTGGCAATATCATGGTTTGGGCCTACTTGTTTACCGCTTGTCTAGGATGGCTTGCTATCATTAATAAATTGTGAATTCCGAATTGTACTGGCAAATTCTACCAGAAAATGTCAAGATATCTGTCCATGAAGTGAAGCTTAAGAGAAAGTTATACAGCAAAACAACAACCCAAAACACACATTTCTACGATCAAAGAATTATTATAGCAGAAGAAAGTTAATATTCTGGAATAGCCAATCTTGACCTTAATCCTACAATAAGGTTGTGGAAATGGACAGTCTATTCAAGAAAGTGCACTTTTATTCCTGATGTGAAACTGTTCTGTAAGATTAATGGGATAAAATACTTCCACGCTGATGTCTAAAATTAATAAACAATTATTGGAAATGTTTATACTGACATATTTCAGCATATTTTACTATGAGAATGTATACCAGTTATGTGCTACTTGCTATTCAATATTAAGTAGCTCTTATTTTACAAAATTATAGATGTACTTTTTGGTTTTAATCTTACTTAGACTAGGTTATCTTCACTATAATTTGTTAAACTGTTAATTCTTGTGTTTGTAAGAATGGCTTTTGTAAAACTTGGTGTTTGAACATAGAAAATGAAATTGTAAATTGTGGATATTACATTAAATTATAATCTAAAATAATAATTTGGATTTGGAAGGGAAAAGTGCAAAATGCTTATTTCATTTGTATTTTTCAGATTGCAAACAATATTTATGAAATTTGATGAAGTAAAAAATAATGACAGTATGATTTCAAGCAGTATCAGTGGTGAGTATGTGACTTTGGTATTAAAAGGTAATAAATTATGTAACTTTGATATTAAAGATAATCAATTCTAAATGAATATGTAAAATGAATTTAGAGTCTATTATAACCTTAACAGTTTGTCACAAACATTAGATGTTAATTTATAAAGTTGAAGAAAGTGTGTACTCTTTAAATATATCATATAAACTTTATTGCTAGTATTTCTACATCTATAATAAGAAAGTCTTTATAAGATTCATATCAAAACTTCTTTCTTATTGATATCAAATAGAAATCCAAATCTTAGTAATTGATAGCAATTACTAAATTAGCATGATTAAAACCTTACAGGCTTTAGAGTATCCTTTAAGATTATGTCAGTTTTTGTCCATACTGATTAATTTAAATTGATAATTTTCTGATTTTAAAGATTGATGACTGTTTTGAAATTTCATTATTTATTTAATGTTATGATTATTTGTACTCCTTAATGCTTCAGTTTTGCTTGTAATTTCTGAAGCATTAAAGGTAGACATGTAACGTAGCATTTAATGGTTTGGATTTAGACCCAAGAAGGCTCAGGTTCAAATCCTCAGTCAGTGAAAGAGTTCATGGATGGTATTTATTCAGAGTATTCAGTTTCCTCATTATAGTCCCGTGATGGCGAACCTATGGCACGGGTACCAGAGGTGGCACACAGAGCCCTCTCTATGGGCACGCACGCTGTCGCCCCAGCTCAACCAGCTGGTTGTCGGCTTTCTGAGGCGTGCATGTGCACTGGACAGCTGGTCATCAGGTTTCCAAGGCGCACATGCGTGCCGGCCAACTGGTTATTGTATTTCTGATGCTCTGGTGGGTGTGCGTGCGTGCATGTACATGGGCATTTTGTGCCTAACAGGTTCGCCATCTCTGTTATAGCCCATCTAAAAAAAAAGTTATGGTATGAAACAGAGGGGACCCACAAGGATGTAGTTACAATTTTCCAGAGCATCTCCTCCTCAGGATGTAAATATAACAAGATATATAAAAAATAAGATAACACTATTATCTCACTGTTTCAGAAACTTTTTTTTGCACTTTGATCACTTTTACACAGTTTATGGAAAATCTTGCCTCTAACAGCTTATTTATATCAAACAAAATACAAGTCTATACACTACTAAAACTCTAGTGTCTGTTTGATAGTTTTTAACCTTCAATTGGGATAAATTGGAAGATATACAGCAACAGTTATTGAACCAAAGTAACTCAAATACCTAGTTTACAGAATGCTAGAACCTGTGATTCCGATGCAAATTAAATTTGGGGAAGTTGTTGTCACTTCAGTACCAATGTGTTGCTGCTGTTCCTCACTGCTGCTGCAGTAAGCTGCAATCATGTGATCCTCATTCCTTGACAACTTCCCACAAATTGATGGGGAAGCCAGAAGGAAATGATATGATTGCCAGTGCTGGTTACCACTTTCCTACTACCAATAGCAAAGTTTTTTCAAGGAGAAATTAGGTGGAGAAACTGGCAGGGAAGGTATTAAGTTCCTTGATAAGTCTCCTACTCCTTCTACACATTTTCAACTAGTCTGTCAGTTTCTCTGTGCTCATGCTATGCCTAGCCACTCAAGCAACCTCTTGCTCTCTTTCCCATCTGGCAACAGCCATACCTGAGGGAAAGGAAAGGAGAAAAGAGAAAAGAGAGGGAAAGAAAAAGGGAAAGGTGTTTCCAATGGTCTCTACCAGCATTCCACAAGCAAAGTCAATGGGAAGTTTACACTCTGACAGGACCTGCAGCATGCCCAATCTGCTGGATCAAGTTGGACAAATAAAGACGATTCCACAGTAGCCCAATCCCAAGCCATGCAGGTCTTTAAGGTGACAACCAACATCTGGAATGGCACCTGGAAATACATTGGTGTCAGTGCAGCTCATGTAATAGTGGTGTTATATTGTGCAGTGTATCCAGCACCATTTACTACCTGTGCAGCCCTATTGTGCACCAGTTGAAGTTTCTGAATGTTTTCAGAAGGACAGCACATGTACGGTGTAATTACAGTAATCTAAGTGAGAGGTTACAAGAGCATGGGAGATGGTGCATAAGACCTTACCTTCTGATTGCTCCTTACTGAGAATTGCAATCTTCAAGATTGTCTCTTCTCTATAAGTGCACAAGTGTGCAAAGGTTGACTTGGGTCCTTCCTAGTCTCCCCTTAAAAATACAGGGAGCAAGACAGCCACCAAATAACCAGCTTTGATGATAAAATCTGCTATTCATCGACAGAAACAAAAGAGTCACCCACCATTCAGCATTCTATGTAGAGGGAATGTACGGAGAAGAATTTATTTATATTTTTAATGAGTTGTAGCCTGAAGAACAAAAAGGTTGTTTACCTTTTTCTTTCCAGTGCAATCTACTGATAGTGATTGAACCAATTTTATTATATTTTATCCCAAGAGTTCAAGAATTGATTAGACTGAGAGATAGTAATCCACTACCTATTTTCCAGTGAATTATATGATTAGGGACGGATTTTAACATAGATCTTGGTTCTTGTATTTCAATTGGAATTATAAGCAATGTCCGCTTACTCAATTTGTTTCTGCATTATTTTTGCAATATATAAAAGAAGATTCTTATACCTTTTTTCTTAAGGGAAGCAGAGTCTCAATACATATGTGGGTGAAAGTACATAGACTGTCTAGATTTGAGTAAAAATCTCTGCAGTTAAATTTGTGAGTTGACTACAGTATACAAATACATTTAAACTCTAGGTCCTAATTTAAATGGCTTGCTGAATTAAAGATGTAATTTGCAAACATATGTATGTCTTCTGAATTTTATTTTATATTTGTAAAACTTTGGTGGGAAATGTATTCTATTTTTATGAATATCTATGAAATGGGAGTCTTGCTGGCAAGCAATGCAAGGCAGGCTTGCTCTTACTATGTGGTTGATTCAGATTTATGTCACTGGCTTTATCCAAAACAGTGGTACAGCTTTCTTTGAACAGAAAAGCCTTTGACTGTGTGCCTTTGACGTGATTGTTTACAACAGCCGGAGACAGTTGTGTACAATTGGAGACTGAGAACATAGAAGAAAAGCAACAGAAAGCGGGTGGGGAGAGCCAAACAAAAATATCATACATGTTCTATTTCTACCTTATATGATAGTTCGTAAATACTTTATTTTGCTATCTTTTTTGCCTGTAATAAGATTTCACTATATTCTATTACACCAATTTAAATCAGATAATCATTTTGGTCATGTGACTAATCCTGATTATACATAAATCCTTAGGGATTGTAAGCAAGACGTGTTTCCCAAACACATGCCTTCTGTTTTGATGATTGCATTAAAAGTCCTTGTGGAATGAATTTCATTGGTTATAAGCAGATTCTTCAAAGAAAAAAGGCAAGAGCAAAGGATAGAAATAAAGGAGGAGGGGAATCTTACTACAATACTGAAATGCCTCATTGGTATATGCAGTAATCAGGTTTATTATAATAGATGGAAGGAGTTTCCTAAAACAAGTAGGACTTTTATTTTGAAATGGCATAGCAGCTGTTGCTTGTTGCAGTATAAAGCTGCAGATCTGACTGGGTCACACAGTGCTGTGTCTGTTTTCACACTGCACTGGATTGAGAGTGGCGTAGGAACATACAGTCTTGTACTGTATTTGGTTTCCTTGAAAAATCATTTAGTAATATTTTAACAGCAATGGCAGCTGGGGATGGTGAGTACCATTTTCAGTTTAAGTGTTTTTATTATTTAAACATAACATAATTGATCATTTAGCAATAAAAAAATTAACCTTATAGTTGATATAATTAATATTAAGATTTGAATTTGTTGTCTTGAATGTTGAAAACCCTCGCTAAGCATATCAAATGCATATTACACCATAATTTATTTAAGATTTTTAACTATTTAAAATTAGGCTTAAGCAGATGTACAAGTAATATACATCTACCAGTAGAAAGCTCTATTTCTTTCAGATGTGCACCTGGTTTTATGTTCTGAGAAGCTGAACGTATCATCTTACCTGGCTACAAATTAGTGTAAACATATCTTGCTTTATTGTGATACTATACTTTTTGTCAAATAAAAAGGAGGATAATCTTTAAAGAACAAAGATATGTGAAAGTCCTGACCTAATAATTGTACAATTTGGATCTTATAGAGTAGGTTGTCATGGCCATCCTTACACAATCTACTTTGAGCATCTTGGCCCAATAAAGATTAAAATGTGTTAATTACTTTGTTTTAAATATGTTGTTCAGATATGCTATTCTTTAGACATTTCATGATGTTATGGACAGAGTATTGTTTCCTTTTATGGAATTTGATATATAATCTCCATATTTTATAAATACGTCAGCTTTAAGTTTATTCTGCATCTTATATTTGGTTCTCAAGATAATCTATTCATAGTTCAGTTTTCCAGGAGGAATAAATATGTTTGAAGGTGAAAGCATTGGATTATAGCTGGTACATATCTATTTGTGAAATGAGTTTCATTACTGTATGAATTCCCATGCAGTAGGAAATATTTATATTCCAGCACTTAGAAATTAAGAAAAACTTTGGTTTTTAATATTATTATATATACTGCCAGATCACTGACAGTTTATAAATGTATTTGTGTTGCAAGTTCATCTTTGCTTATGTAATTACAGCTGTTTAATTATGAGCTTTCTCAGTATAAGAAACCATCTTTTAATCTTTCTTATACTGGACAATCTGAAAACTTTTATGTATCTAACATTGCATAGATTGTTATGATAAATTTATAAAATATAATGTTCATATTTAGATTAACCATCATTTTGTGCTAGCTTTGCATGTGGAAAAGGTAATTTTTATGTTTTTACATTTCGGTAAAGTGGGATTTTACTTCCTCTGTAACATATCTTAAAGCTTTCTGGAATACAGCTAGATTCTAAACAGTTTTATTAAACATTGTAAAGAGTACCTTTTTATAGATTTGCTTATTTGCATCATTTATAGACTCATTTTTAATCAAGACATTA